ACAGAAGCACCAAAGAGAGGGTCGCATAGCGCTCAGCCCTCGGCCACCGAAGGTAGGGCGGCCGGGCCCATGCGAGCTCTCTGGAGGCTTGGGGGAGGGAGAAGGCCAGGGAGAGAGGGAGGACCGAAGCACGCGCTCGACAACGGCGTCTTCCGCAAGAGAGCAACAAAAATCCGCCGACCCTGTCGGCGTGTGTGAGGGGGGGGGGGGGGGGGGGGGGGGGGGTGGGGGGGGGGGGGGGGGGGGGGGGGGGGGGGGGGGGGGGGGGGGGGGGGGGGGGGGGGGGGGGGGGGTGTGGGGGGGGGGGGGGGGGGGGTGGGGGGGGGGGGGGGGGGGGGGGGGGGGGGGGGGGGGGGGGGGGGGGGGGGGGGTCGGGTGGGGGGGGGGGGGGGGGGGGGGGGGGGGGGGGGGGGGGGGTGGGTGGGGCTTTTCCGTTCGAGCCGTCATCTCCGTCATTCTTTGTAATCGTCGTCTCTGTCGTTCCCTTTCCCTGGTACCCCTCTTCCCCTGGGCTCCTCCCCGCTCCCCTCGCCCTTTCCCAGGGCCTCCTCCTCAAGCGCGCTAGCCAAACCGACCTTCAGCAACGTCGTAACTGATTCGAAGGGAAGCCCCTTCCCTTTCCCTTCCCCGACGGGGGGGGGAGGGGGGTCCCGGGGGGGGTCCCGGGGGAGTCCCGGGTCAGATACGACGGCCCCCCCGTACCGACCTTGAGCAACGTCGTAATTGAGTCGAAGGAAGCCCCTTCCCTTTCCCTTCCCCGACGGGGGGGGGAGGGGGGGTCCCGGGAGGGGTCCCGGGGGAGTCCCGGGTCAGATACGACGGCCCCCCGTAAGTACTCACGTAAGGATTCTTTTGTTTCAGGCCGCGAACGAGCCGCCGAGCCGCCCCCGAGCCGGCGAGGAGGAGAGCGGCCTCAGAGAGCCCCCTCTGTTCCCCCTTCCCTTTAATCCCTCCCCCGCCGGGAGGGGGAGGGGAGGTCTTTACCAGAGCCTCCTCCTCAAGCGCGCCAGCCAAACCGACCTTGAGCAACGTCGTAATTGAGTCGAAGGGAAGCCCCTTCCCTTTCCCTTCCCCGACGGGGGGGGGAGGGGGGGTCCCGGGGGGGGACCCGGGGGAGTCCCGGGGAAGTCCCGGGTCAGATACGACGCCCCCCCCGTAAGTACTCCACGTAAGGATTCTTTCTTGTTTCACGCCGCGCCCGAGCCGCCCGAGCCGCCCCCGAGCCGCGCCCGAGGAGGAGAGCGCCTCAGAGAGCCCCCCTCTGTTCCCTCTGTCCACACGGGGGGGAGCCACCCCTTTCCTCCCCCTCTCCTTCCTGTCCACAGGAAGAGAGCGCCCCGCGCCCCGCGCCTTTCCCCCCCCTCCCCGTCCCCCCTCTGTTCCCCCTGTCCACAGCCCCCTCTGTTCCCCCTGTCCACACGGGGGGGAGCCCCCCCTTCCAGTCCGTCTCCTTCCTTTCCAACAGACGAGAGCGCCCCGCGCCCCGCGCCTTTCCTCAAGTCCTGCTGGTGGTGTGTTTCCGTCTGCTGCTTGCCCTCAAGACGGCAGCAGCAGACGGAACACCACCACCAGCAACACCGTCACCATCGCCAGGAACGACCGAACCACCAGCAGCACCCGCGACACCAGCAGCAAGAGAACCACCAAGACCATCATCATGGCCAACAGCAACGGCAGGAAGAAAACGACCACCAGCAAAAGTACACCTCCCTCCCCCACTTTCTCGTCCTTCTCCCCTCTCCCCAAAACCATCCCACAGCCCGTGCCTCTTGCTGCGCATTGCGAACAGGGTCGGCGGCACCGGCCGTAAGGCCTTCGCAATAAACACAACTTGCATTGCGGGCACCGTCGAGCCTACTGGGTGGGTCACCGTTGAATGCAACGAGTCAGACGAAACCGACGGCAATGCCGCGCAGCGGGACTACAACAGCGATGGGCTCGGGTATCGGCAACGGCAGAACAGCGTAGGATGAGAAAGGGCGGGCCATGACATCAATCGCACCCTGGCCGTTCTTCAAGTCACGAGTCTCTGCCGAACCGCATTCCCTGGCCACTAGCGTGGCACCGAGACCGGCACCTCGCGCTGCTCGGCAGGGCAGCACCGTTAGCCCTAGTAAGCCAACGCGCAAAGTCTCACCCAATCTAGGAGCGGAGGAGCAGGATGAGGAGGAGGAGAAGGATTTCGTACCTTACGATTTGCTATACTGTCTGCAAGCTCCGTATTTCATCAGGCAGAAAACGTGGCGTTTGGACGCGTTCCAAGCGCGGTTCTCGCGCAGACCGTTGCGTATTCCCGACACGCACAGCGGCAGAATCTCGAGTGACGCCGCGCTTCAGCGGGCCAGCGCCCACCCGCTCAGCAGCACGCTCCTCCGCAGGCGTCACTTTTCTTGGTCACATCGCCGGCCACCCAGATGACGACGCTGTTAAAGGGGCCCCGGGACGCGCAAAGAAATACACACAAACAGCAGGATGCCCTTATATTTCCGCATATTTTCAAGGTTTTCGTTTTCCCCCCAATTCCCATACTTTCCCATATGTTCCTGGGAACCGACGCTTAATTGTGTCTGTGTGTGTTTTTCCCCTCCTGAGCTGCGCGGCGCACAAAGCTTCAGCAATTCTGCCCCCTCCAGCTCCCCCCCCTCCCTTCCTGAGGAAGAGAGGGCACCCACGAGCAACGTGGCCCCAGGAAACTTCTAGGCACGCCTGCGAAGCAGCTGGGCGTGAGGAGGCCCTTCCGGCGCTATGCCCAGGACACCACAGCGGGGCATATTGCAATCATATGACGACTCAATATGGTAGTGGATATGTGCTCATGGATGTTTCGTACTCCGCATCTTGCTTCGTGGTGGGTGCACAGCAAGGGCCCTTGCCTTTTTGTCAAACTGGTCGCCATGTGCATTTCAGTTCAAACCGGAAGAACTCTATCTTACCGTTACGAGCAGAGCAACGAGCAGCAGTGCCACTCATCTAACCAAGCCTCTCGATTTCGACGTGCGAGCGACAAGCAATGATGTGAGCGTCGAACCGCAGACCTTCGCTTTGGGGCTTGCACCACAGGGCAGGGAGAGAGATAAGAGCGCATTGGTACACCATGGGTAGCGCAACTGACACACACACACACAGTCACACATAGGGTCACACCTGCATACATACATATACAACTATACATACATGCATGCACACGTACATGTACATATACTACACATAATACACATAATACACATACATACATACATACATACATACATACATACATACATGCATGCATGCATGCATGCATGCATACAGACATACATACATACATGAACACGTGCTTACATACCTACACACATACATGCATGCATACATACATACACACACATACATACATACATACATACATACATACATACATACATACATACATACATACACACACACACACATACATACATACATACATACATACATACATACACACATACACATACGAAACCGCATGCATACATACAGGCATACACACATTTATTCGTACATACATACATGCGTAAATACATACAGACAGACATACCTACTTGCCTACACACCTGAAGGTCTACACACCTAAACACATACAGGCATGCATCCGTACATGCATCCGTGCATACATACATGCATGCATGCATGCACACGCACATACACACATACGAACAGGCATGCATGCACGCGTGCATACATACATAAACACGCACGTACACATACATGCATACGTACATGCATGTATGCATGCATGCATACATACGTGGGTACATATATGCATACACACATACACATAAACGCATATAAGCACACACAAGTACATGCAAACATACATACACACATACATGCATGCATACATCCATGCGCACAATCATACATGCATACGTACATGCGTGCACACATGTATACACGATTCCATACATACACTCATACATACATGCATGCATGCAAATATACCTGCATACAACCATACATACAAACATACGAGAGAGCGTGATCCACCGCCGCTTTACTGTGGAAAATTGCCAACCTTTTCCTCCGGAACCCGGGGGTCGCCCCCCCCCCCCTCCGAAAATCCCCCCCCCCCTGCGGAACCCTTCCCCCCCCCCCCCCCCCTCCCCCGGCAAAACCCCCCCCTCTCCTAAACCCCCCACCCCCCCCCAGAACCTCCCGCCGAAAAACCGGGGGGTCACTACCGGTTCTAACCCTCCCCCCCCCCCCCCTCTCCCGGAACACCGGCAAACGTTACCCCCCCCCCCCCCCCCCCCCCCCCCACTCACCGCCAGCAAACGACTCCCGGTCCCCACCACCGTCCGCATCACATCCCCCACTGGTGTTCCCAGCACCACTGTCCTCACCACCGCTGTCCCCACTGGTTCCACCACCGCCCCTACTGTCCCCACCAGTGGCCCCACCACTGTCGCACTGTCCCCGCTGTCCCCAGCACTGTTCCCACCACGGTTCCACTCTCCCCACTGTCTCCACGGCCCCAACCACTGCCCGACTATCCCCACTGTCCCCACTGTCCCACTGACTCCTCCGCTGTCCCACTGAGCTGTCCCACTGTTCCCACCACTGTCCCCACTTTCCCCACCACTGTCCCCACTGTACCTCTGTCCCATTGTCCCACCGCCGTCCTCGCCACCGCCTTCACCACTGTCCCCACCACCATTGTACCCTCCACTGTCCCACTGTTTCCACCTCATTCCCATTGTCCCCACACCACTGTCCCCACCACCACCGTCACCACCACTGTCCACTGTCCCCCCCTGTTCCCACCATTGTCCCCACCACTGTCCCCACCACTACCGTCCCCACCACTGTCCCACTGTCCCACTGTCCCCACCACTGTCCCGCTGTCCCCTCACCACTGTCCCACCAACACCGTCCCCACCTCTGTCCGCACCCCCACTGGGTTTTCGAGAGGGTTCGAACCGGTAGTGACCCCCCCCCCTTTTCATGATGTTTTCCGCCAGCAGCGGTAGAACACGCTCTTTCTCAGATCGAGGTCCCAGTCCATTGGCAGACGCCTCTGGGGAAATCGCGCTCTGAGATACCGCGCGCGCAGGCGCGCGATGTTGCACTGTGTTTTTTTCGAGCGAGCTGCGTCTCCACGGGAGCGCTGCATGTCCGTCTTGTCTATAGCAGTTTGTCTCAAGCACCTTCACTCCAGCCCCTTGCCGTTCGCAGTCTTCACAGCCCATCGACACGGCGGCATCCACGCCGCAGATCGCAAAGATGTACGAGAGGAGCGAACGGCAAGCTAAACAGGCAGCGGCGAGTGCAGAGAGAGCCAAACTTGCACTCTGCAGCGCCGCCCTGCGTGAGCACGGGGTTGTGGCTGCAGCCCCCACGTATGATCACCTCGCCAGCCTCGGCTTCATTGACGGCGTCACACAGAGCGTTGTCCCACGTGAGCAGGGCACGGCCCATCCTGGGAGGAAGAAGGCGTCCACGGATGATAACCAATCCGTTGCGCTGACGGTCGTGCCTGAAATGGGGGGCACGTGGGAGCAGTCGCCGCCCGATTCCGCGCGCAAGCTTCTCACTGCTGTCGAGCCCGCGGTGTTGAGCCGCCACAACTTGAGAACCTTGGGAAAACAAAAACAGGCCAATACCGTTCCAAAAGACGCGTTGATGAACCTCGTCGAATTCCACTTCAACTTCGACCGGACGGCCAAGGTCCCGAAGTGGAGGAACATCCATGAGTGCATCGCGTCCTTGACAAGTCGGTGCCAGGCCCTCGGTGCAAGGGTGTCCGCGTTGCAGTTGCCGTGCGCGCTTTCGAACCAGCCTGGGGGGAATGCTTTCTGGGCAGTTGTGCCCCATGCTCACCCTGACGGGTCCGAGGCATTGATGAACAAGGTGACTGGGAAGATGAAGCCACTCCCAGATTCGGGCGTCAAACTCCACATTGATTGCTGTTGGTCCGAAACGCGCGGCACGTTGCTGGACGAGTCCGGCCTCGCGGTGAACTACAAGTGCGCTCAACTTTTTCGTATGACGCACGTGCCGAGCATGGGCGGGGGCGCCTCCTCGGATGCCGACCTGATCCCGCCGCGCCCTGAGAGGAGGAGGGCGCTCGCGCTTCTCGCGTCGCCTCCAGGGCCGCAGGCTGCAGCTGCGGCAGTAGCCCCTGCGGCGGCACCAGTTGCGCAGGCGCCGCCCGCGGGCGTCGATCAGCCACCCGAGGGCCAGGATGAAATGCCCAGCGAAACCGATGGCGGGGCAGCAAGTGTTCCTGGCTTGGCGGGCGAGGCTGAAGCGGCCGACCCCGTTTTTGCCTTCGGCGCTCCCGTCGACCAGGATGAACTTGACTTCCTGCCGCCGCCTCCTGCGGAGCCTGCCGCGGGTGCAGCGGGCAGTGTGTAGGGTATTGAGGCGCTGCTTCTTTCTGAGCATCCGCTCACGTGGCGAACACGGCAGCACTGTCCAGCGTTTGGGTGACGCGCTCAGGCGGAGTTTTCACAGGGCCATTCGAGTGCGCGTTCTCGTTTTCCAGATCCCCTCTTTCACGTAGGTTCCCAGTGTCCGGGCCGCTCCCTTGCCCGATTGGCTTATTATTGTTGCTGGTTTTTTGTTTCAGTAGTGGCACAGGGTGCCCCCCGCGCACTGGCACGAGGGTAAGAGCGCAATGCATATTGGGTTGATGCAGCTGACTGTGCTCTTTGACCTGTGCCGCAAGCGTTGCGCCTACCAGGGGCGGTCCGAAGGAAGTTTGTCGAATGTATCACTGTCGTCATCCGCATCGCCTTCGCTAGCACCCGCGTCTGTGCAGCCACGTTGCACCGTGCCGTGGTGGCCTCGACGTTGGAGAGATCAGAATGCAATAGATTTTGTTGGAGGCATTGGGGGGGCTGGAGGGGGGAGGGAGGGGGCAAGGGAATGGGATCAGCGAGGCCACGAGTGGGGATCAATTGTGCCTGAGCTCTGGGACCCACGTGGGCGGCCAAGGAGGCGGGGCGCAGGTGGGGCTGCATTGCCCTGGCTGGAGATTCGGCTGGCCTCGATTTCCCCCCGCGTGGGAGGAGGGCTCAGAAGGTCATTCGGATGCGCTGAATCGGCCTCTTGGGGGGCCGCAGTGTAGCAGGGCTGGAAACAGAAACACCCCGCCTCGTCATCCACGGTTTGATTGTGCCGACGTGTGCAAACGCATCTTGGCACATCTGTTTGCCCGCTGCGCCCCTGCAAGCACCCGAAGGCACAAACCACCGGACGTCGTCCAGGAGCCTTTTGGGAACAAACCACCGGGCGTTGTCCAGGAGCCGCCCGCCCAGAAAAACGGTAAACAACATGTTGTTTACCATGTTTCCGTTTCTCGGGCTCTTGTTTCGAGCGTTGCAGGGGCCCTCGCGAGGCCATTTTGGGGGTCCTTGGGGTGCCCCGGGGACGTGTTAGCGAGCTCCAAGAGGGTTCCAATAAGGCCCCAAGAGGGCCCGATTTTCTACGACCAGACGGACCCCCGCTGGTAGTACAAACTGCTGCCCTCTTTGGGCCCTCTTGGAGTTATGTTGGGGCCTCTAGGCGCTCTCTTGGGCTCGTATTTCGGCCTTCTCGCGGTCCTCCTGGGGCTCCGGTTAGGCTCCCAGAGGATGCCAGGAGGGTCTGATTTTCTACAACTCGACGGCCCCCCGCTGGTAAGAGAATTTTTTTCCCCTCTGAGGGTTTTCTTGGAGGCCTTTTGGTGGGTTGTTGGTAGTGCGGTTTGTGGTGTGGCTGGTAACCTGGTTGCGTGGCTGGTGGTGTTGTTGGTGTGGCTGGTGGTGTGGTTGGTGGTGTGGTTGGTGGTGTGGCTGGTGTGGTTGGCGGTGTGGCTGGTGTGGTTGGTGGTGTGGCTGGCGGCGCCGCTGATGGTCTGGTTGTGAAGTTTGTTGGTGGGTTGTTGGTGGTGCGGTTTGTGGTGTGGCTGGTGAGCTGGTGGTGTGGCCTGGTGGTGTGGTTGGTGTGGCTGGTGGTGTGGTTGGTGGTGTGGTTGATGGTGTGGCTGGTGTGGTTGGTGGTGTGGTTGGTGTGGCTGGTGGTGTGGCTGGCGGCGCAGCTGATGGTCTGGTTGTGCAGTTTGCTGGTGGGTTGTCGGTGGTGCCGTTTGTGGTGTGGCTGGTGAGCTGGTGGTGTGGCCGGTGGTGTGGTTGGTGTAGCTGGTGGTGTGGTTGGTGGTGTGGTTGGTGGTGTGGCGGGTGTGGTTGGTGGTGTGGATGGTGTGGCTGGTGGTGTGGGTGGCGGCGCTGCTGTTGGTGTAGTTGTGAAGTTTTGTTGGTGAGTTGTTGGTGGTACGGTGTGTGGTGTGGCTGGTGAGCTGGTGGTGTGGCTAGTGGTGTGGTTGGTGGTTGGTGGTGTGTTTGGTGGTGTGGTTGGTGGTGTGGCTGGTGTGGCTGGCGGTGTGGCTGGTGTGGTTGGTGGTGTGGTTGTCTCGTTTGTTGGTGGGTCGTTGGTGGAGCGGTTTGTGGTGTGGTTGGTGGCTGGCTGGTGGTGTGGCTGGTGGTGTGGTTGGTGTGGCTGGTGGTGTGGTTGGTGGTGTGGCTGGTGTGGCTGGTGGTGTGGCTGGTGTGGCTGGTGGTGTGGCTGGCGGTGCGGCTGTTGGTGTGGTTATGAAGTTTGTTGGTGGGTTGTTGGTGGTGCGGTGTGTGGTGTGGCTGGTGAGCTGGTGGTGTGGTTGGTGGTGTGGTTGGTGTGGTTGGTGGTGTGGTTGGTGGTGTGGCTGGTGTGGTTGGTGGTGTGGTTGGTTTGGCTGGTGGTGTGGCTGGCGGCGCGGCTGATGGTTTAGTTGTGCAGTTTGCTGGTGGGTTGTTAGTGGTGCGGTTGGTGGTGTGGCTGGTGAGCTGGCGGTGTGGCTGGTGTGGTTGGTGGTGTGGCTGGTAGTGTGGTTGGTGGTGTGGTTGGTGGTGTGGCTGGTGTGGTTGGTGGTGTGGCTGGTGGTCTTGTGGTGCGGTTGGTGGTGTGGGTGGTCTTGTTGTGCGGTTCGTGGTGTCGGTGGGAAGATGGTGGTGGTGTGATATGTTGTGGGGTGGGTTGTTGGCTGGTATGGCTGGTGCTCTGGTTGTGGTGTTGATGGTGTGGTCGGTGGTGCCGTGGTTTGGTTGGTGTTGTGGGTGGTGGTGATGCTGGTGGGGCGGTTGGTTGTCTGGTGTTGTGGCTGGTGGCACCTGTGGTGTATATGGTATGGTGTGGTGGTGTGGTTGGTGCGGTTCGTGGTGTGGCTGATGAACGGGTTGTGTTTTTTTGTGGTGTCGCTAGTGATTTGGTGTGGCTGGTGAGCTGGTGGTCCTGCTGGTGGTGTGGTTGGCGTGGCTGATGATGTGGTTGTTGGTGTGGTTGGTGGTGTGGTTGGTGTGGTTGGTGGTGTGGTTGGTGTGGCTGGTGGTGTGGCTGGCGGCGCGGCTGTTGGTGTGGTTGTGAAGTTCCCGGAAAGGGCTGATGCCCAGGGTTCTCTTTTAGTTGTTTGCCCCCGGATGTGACGGCTGTAGGGTCGGCGAATTTCTTTTGCGATAAATAACGAGGTCGCGCAGGGCTTGCGAATTCAAATTTGAGGTTGTCTCGAGCGAAACGCTTGTTTTTCAGAATGTGTTGAGGATGTCTCGAGCGAAACGCTTGTTTCGTCTTCTGAATTGCCCTCTCCTGGGGACCAGAAATCAGAGGATATCTTAAGTGAAATGCTTGTCTTCACGTGCCCAGGTCTTGAGGATGTCTCGAGCGAGACGCTTGGTTCCACGCCTCCAGGCTGCCCAGGCCGAGGTCTAGCGCCAGGATTTGTTGAGGATATCTCGAGCGAGACGCTTGGTGTCACGCGTCCTCGTCGCCCAGACGGATGTCTAGCATGAGGATGTGTTGACGAAGTCTCGATCGAGATGCTTGTTTGCACGTGTCCAGGTTGCCCAGGCGGATGCCTAGCATGAGGATGTGTCGAACGTCTCGAGAGATACGCTTGTTTTCACGTGTCCATGTCGCCCAGGCACTCAGCATTGCAATTTGGCACGTTCCGTGGCGCGTCCTGTGGCGAGTCCCCCTGGCACGTCGCGCGGCGCGTCCCCTGGCACGTCCTGTGGCGCATCCATTGGCACGTTCCGTAGCGCGTCCCCTTGGCACGTCCCGCGGTGCGTCCCCACGGAACGTCCCCTGGCACGTCGCCTGGCGCGTTTTTGGGGACGTTCCGCGGCGCGTCCTCCTGGCATGCCCCTTTGTCAATCAGCTCTGTGGCAGCTACTATGTGCTCAGGCAGCTCGAGCTTAAGGTCTAGATCAGTTCGGTCATGACTCGGATGCAAAGGATGATTCGATCCGCAACGCTATAGAGCACAATCGCCGCATGGCACATCGCAATTCAGCACGGCGCAGCACAGCACAGCCCTCGGCGCGGTACATCAAGGTTGATACATTCAGCATTGCAACTTGGCGCGTTCCCTGACACGTTCCGTGGCGCGTCCTGTGGCGAGTCCCCCTGGCACGTCGCGTGGCGCGTCCCCTGGCACGTCCTGTTGCACGTCCATTGGCACGTTCTGTAGCGCGTCCCCTTGAAGGCACGTCCCGCGGTGCGTCCCCACGGCACGCCCCCTGGCACGTCGCTTGGCGCGTCCCTTGGAACGTTCCGCGGCGCGTCCTCCTCGCATGTCCCCCTGTCAGTTAGCTCTGGGACAGCTACTGTGTGTTCAGGCAGCTCGAGCTTCAGGTCCAGATCAGCTCGGTCAGGACTCGGATGCAAAGGAGGACTCGATCCACGACGCTATAGAACACAATCGCGGCATGGCACATCGCAAGTCAGCACGGTGCAGCACAGCACAGCCCTCGGCAGGGTGCATCAAGATCGATACATTCAGCATTGCAACCTGGCACGTTCATTGGCACGTTCCGTGGGGCGTCCATTGGCGAATCCCTTTGGCACGTCGCGTGGCGCGTCCCCTGGCACGTCCTGTGGCACGTCCATTGGCACGTTCCGTAGCGCGTCCCCTTGGCACGTCCCGCGGTGCGACCCCATGGCGCGTCCTTTGGCACGTCGCCTAGAGCGTCCCTTGGAACGTTCCGCGGCGCGTCCTCCTGGCACGTACCCCTGTTAAGTATCTCTGGAGCAGTTACTATGTGTTCAGGCAGCTCGAGCTTCAGGTCCAGATCAGTTCGGTCATGTGTCGGATGTAAAGGAGGACTCGATCCACGACGCTATAGAGCACAATCGCGGCATGGCACATCACAGTTCAGCACGGTGCAGCACAGCACAGCCCTCGGCAGGGTACATCAAGATCGATACACTCAGCATTGCATTTGCCCATCACCCAATCAGGTGTCTTTGAAACCGCTGCCATGCGTTACATGTCTATATTCCTTTCCGGGTTCGTGGGTCGATCCTGTTTTTTGGTGGGTTGTTGGTTGTGCGGTGTGTGGTGTGGCTGGTGAGTTGGTGGTGTGGCTGGTGGTGTGGTTGGTGTGGCTGGTGGTGTGGTTGGTGGTGTGGTTGGTGGTGTGGTTGGTGTGTGGTTGGTGGTGTGGCTGGCGGCGCGGCTGGTGGTCTGGTTGTGGAGTTTGTTGGTGGGCTGTTGGAGGCCTATTTGGACTTGCTTTGGATCCGCGTGGGCCGCGATATTTTCATGTTCCGTGTCTCTTGAAACTTTGCAAAGCATGCAGCCTAATGCATGTCACCCTCAGAGGGGCTCATGACGAGCCATCTGCGAGCAGCCAGGCCACACGTTTCTTGGCAACGTGGAAGTTTTCTCCGTAGCCGTGGGTCCTGCCGCGGGTGCTCAAGCGCAATGGCGGGTCCATTGACGCAGCCTTACCATTTCAAGACAAACCACACCACCACGGACGGTGTGGTGGTAGTTGACCACTTGGCCGTCCACCACATCCAGGACAACCGAGTCGTGTGGAACCTTCTCGGTCCACTCGCAGCGTGTTTCAAACGAACCAGACTCGATGTGCACAAGCTTGTGTCGAAATACCACGATGAATGGGCTGCTTTCTTCGACGCTCTTGGCCTGCGTTTGTCCGAACAGCTGCACAAGCCTTTCAAATCAATCGCCAGGAGCTGCAAGCACGGTGATCAGGCCATGGCCGCCGACGCAATGACATCAGATATCTGGACAATCGACACATCGGGCTACATTATTTGGATGCTTGGGTGGGCATCGCTCCGAGAGCCCATCGGCAGCGCTGCCACATCCCTCTTGTCGGCATTTCTCGCGAGAACAGATTGCGAGCCGATCGTCGGACAGCTCAGGGGCACGCTACTCAGCACAGACACCCTGAATTGCATGCAGGCTGGATCGACCCTTGTAGCGTGTGACCATGTCCACCCAGCGTTGGATATGTGTCGCGATCTTACGCAGACGGCGCGCCTTGTGGATGTGTTCAAAGTTTTGCGCGGGCAGGCGCATGGGTGCAAGTCGGCTTGTTTTATGCCCAAACCTTTGGCAATCCCCGCCCCGCCCCTATATTCGAACACTGGGGCGCGCTCTTACAAACCGTCCACCTTCGATGGAGGGAGGGGGTCGGGGAGGGTTTGCCGCGGTGCTCGGTGGCGCTGCAAGGCGACAGGGCCGTGAGGTCCCTTGGTGGTCTATGGAGCGCTGCACTTGGGTTCCCTAGCTCCCGGGGCTATTGCGGAACATGCCTACACAGTCTGACGTCTTCGCTGGGCGACCCCGATGGGGTTCAGGCGGATGCTAAAGGTTTCGGTGCTGGCGCTCGCCGAACGTATCCACGTCACACTTCCTGATATCAGGGCCACCCAAAACCCGCTGAGGATGGACGTGGATCGGACCGTCGGCGGTCGGAAGCGAAATTGGACGGATATCGTAATTGCCAAGGTGAACAGTACTGTCATAGAGAAGAAGGCCTCCACGGCATACCAGTGTGCGAAGGTGGAGGGCATCAAGAGGGCTCGCATAGACGAGTGGCATGCCAATGCCCTTCTGGACCAGCAAACTGCTGGCGTGCGCGTCCTCGGAGCAGCGCCTGGCACGTTCTCCATCGTGAGCGACGGAGCTCGATTGGGGAAGCCTGCGCGGGAAACGAATGTCTACGCGGCGTGCTGCCACGAGGTCGGAGTGGCCCAGTGGCTCGCGCCGCAGGTCGCCCCGTCAGGTCTGAACGGCATTTGTTGTCTGGGGCGGAGGGCGGAACAGCGGGCGCTGTTCATTTCGAACGAGAATTCTCGTTGCCACAGGTTGCGCCCGGGATGGGCAACGAAGGCCCCCGCCTGAGACATCCTCGCAATTCTGCCCGTAGCGCGGGCCGGGTCCGGGATGGGGCCGGAATGCGTGGGATTCCGCGAGACAGCGTCGGCTGTTCCGCGCCCGTCCCCCAACAACAATTGTTGTCGTGGCCAGACAGGGCGGTCCGTAGGACGTGTCCGATAATGCGATGCTTCGGCATGCCGAGGGTCCCCTGTCCTGGACGGAGGCGGGCAAGGAGCACTTGTCGGCGAGGGTGATCGCCTTCCTCGAGAAGAGGGAGGCAGAAGCAAAGGTTGAGAAACCTGGCGCCTTGCAAGACCCAGGGCTCCCAAACCTGCATCACCTCAGAGCATTGGACAACGCCTTGAAGTCGACGTGGGACTTGTCATTGCGAGACTTCGTCGCTGACCGCCCTTGCGGCGCGCTGTTGGAATCGCAGCGCAGATACTATTGCAAAGTCGCCGACCTGCCGGAGAGCACCCAGCAACTCTCGCGCGGCAGGTCGCGGCGGCCCTGCATCGAGGACGTTGGCACCGGGGATCGACGGCTGGAGGTCGCGTGGGGCCGACAACGGAGAGTTCTCCACGAAACCATCGACATGGGCCCGAAGTCCTGGCCCGTGCGCAACGCAATGTACACTGCATGGAACATCCAGGGCACCGTCTGGAACGACCCCCACCATCGGCGTTACGACAGCGGCGTGAACGCCATGACCAAGGCAAGTCTTCGGTTGTTCCGGAACGGAATGGCATTTGCAATGAACTTCGTGGCAGGGCCCTGGGACAGCGACGGGTTCCAAGGCGCCCTGGTCGACTGGTCGATGCATTGCTTGAGTGGCACGCCGCTCAAGAATGGGACAACGAACTGTTTGAACTCGTTTACCCTCGGTTGTGCACTGCAAAGTACAAGAACCACTTGCCCGCGTCATATGGTAGCCCTGAGCATCGACAGGAAATTTGGAACAGCACCCCTGACATGGCCAACTTCATCGGGGAAGGCGCGGGCTTCAAGTTCAATCGGTGGTGGACGTTCGAGCTCAAGGTGCTTGCGTTTCGCGAGCATGTTGGCCTCCTGCTGGCGGCGTGCTTGTATGTTAGCGTTACCAGAGGGTACGTGTCGTCTCTCCAGGATACGCCGTGGTTCACGCATTGTGCTGACGATGCGGCGGCCACGCCAGCGGCAGCAGCCGCGGCCCCTGCCGGCGACGTTGCAGCGTTGGCCCCCATGACGCACGCGGATGGCACAGGGAAGTCCGCCCCCCCCCAGCAACAAGGTTTTCAGGAAATTGAGGTCTGAGGCCAAATCCGGGCTGGATCTGGCCACTCGTATATTGATGATGGAGGAGACGCGGGCTGTCGTGCAGGGCGCCTGCATGTTGGCACGGCCTGTCGCGGAGGAGCATGCCATGACGGCGGCGATCTTGAAAACGAAGTCTGGGACTCTTGAGTGGTCCATCGAGATGGCATTCGGCGAGCGCGTGGGCCATTTGGGCGACATCTTCAAGCAGTTGCTTGACCCAGGGCTCTTGGTTACTACTGGCTTGTTCTCTTGCAAATGTGACGACAGCGCCGATTTCGACGACGATGTAATCAAGCGGATTCTTGAGTCTTACGTCACGTACTCGAGGGAGTTATTGTTCGGTGAGATAATGTTATTGCGAAGCTACAGCGATGATTTACCGTTAGCGCTGGCCATGATGATGTCCAGCGACGACGTCAAACGAGCTCGTGGCGCAGATTGTTTGAGGATAATTTTCGCTCGCGTCACAGAGTGCGAGAAGGTCGCCCTCAATGATTCGTGGCTCAGGCAATTCATTCGCAGGCTCCCGCCATCTCCTTCATTGCGGGGGTGCGATTGCGATCCCATGGGACCTCATTGGGTTTTAAAGACGGCCGAACATGGCTTCCATCCAGCAGAGGGGGGCGACTCGAACATCGCAGCTTGCCGCCCCCAGGCGCCCGCAGGAGGCCCCTAGAACTGTCAGGGGCGTCTCTTGGATGCAGCGGGGGAGAACCTCCAGAGGGCCCGAAGGTGTTGCCATACATCCCCTCGAGGCTTCAATGTTTGCCGGAGGCCCCCGAGAAACAAACTAAACCCAATCGGGATGTCAAACATGATTGAGCGATGCAGCCATGCGCTTGACACGCGCTACCCCCAGGGCGTCTCTTGAGGTCCCAAACTTAATTTCGGGATGCTGGCCTGCAAGGCTGCCGTCGGGTCGCCCCGCGATGAGGTTTCCCTGTGCGTATTTCTTGGGCGGCCACTGTGGAGTTTGGTACTCGTACGCTCGCCCTGCCCCCGATCCGCCACAGATGCGCCTCCTCGTGTCCGTTGGAGTCAATGTAAGAACCCGTGCGTGGTCTCGTTGCGGACGACGCGGCGACGCTGGTGCCTGCCTGCGTTTCAGTTTTAGCCAATTTAGCCCACGGCATCGTTTTTAATATTTGATGTTTTGGGCTTACTTGTTTCTCCTGATCCCCCCTCCGCTCCGTTTTCTGCTCTGGCCCCGCGCGGCGTTGCCAAGAGGTGGGCGCGGCTTTCCTGAATCCAGCTGCCAGTCGTCCTCGCGTTTTTTTGTGAGGCGGAGTGCTCATCACAGTGTTTGCGGCAGCGCCGTTTGCTAGCGGCGCGCGGCCCTGGCCATCCTTCCTTTCGCCGTCCGCGATTTTTGCCAATATACCATGGCCTTCGGCTAATCCCGATCCGTGCCTGGGTTGCGGACGTAGGCTTCCTGGATGTTGGGTTTTGGATGGTGTCTCGTAGTGAGCCTTCCGGGAAACCCATGGTAACAGGTTTGAGGCTATTTGCGGCAGTTCTTCGGGAAGGGCTGAGGCCCAAGGTTCTCTTTCAGCTGTTTGCCCCCGGATCTGACGGCTGTAGAGCCGGCGAATGTCTTTTGCTATAAATAACAAGGCCGCGTAGGGTCGGCGAATTAAACGTTGAGGAAGTCTCGAGCGAAACGCTTGTTTTTTTTTTTTTTCAGAATGTGTTGAGGATGCCTTGAGCGCAACGCTTGTTTCGTTTTCTAAATGGTCCATTCCTGGGGACCAGCTTCCAGAGGATCTCTCAAGTGAAATGCTTGCTTTCACGTGCCCAGGTCTTGAGGATGTTTCGAGCGAGACGCTTGGTGTCACGCGTCCTCGTCGCCCAGGCGGATGTCTAGCATGAGGATGTGTTGACGAAGTCTCGATCGAGATGCTTGTTTGCACGTGTCCAGGTTGCCCAGGCGGATGCCTAGCATGAGCATGTGTTGACGAAGTCTCGATCGAGATGCTTGTTTGCACGTGTCCAGGTTGCCCAGGCGGATGCCTAGCATGAGGATGTGTCGAGAATGTCTCGAGAGATACACTTGGTTTCACGCGTCCAGGTCGCCCAGGTACTCAGCATTGCAACTTGGCACGTTCCGTGGCGCGTCCTGTGGCGAGTCCCCCTGGCACGTCACGCGGCGCGGTTCCTGGCGCGTCCTGTGGCACATCCATTGGCACGTTCCGTAGCGCGTCCCCTTGGCACGTCACGCGGTGCATCCCCACGGCACGTTCCCTGGCACGTCGCCTGGAGCGTCCCTTGGGACGTTCCGCGGCGCGTCCTCCTCGCATGTCCCCGTTGTCAATTAGCCATGTGGCAGCTACTATGTGCTCAGGCAGCTCGAGCTTAAGGTCCAGATCAGTTCGGTCATGACTCGGATGCAAAGCATGATTCGATCCAAAACGCTACAGAGCACAATCGCCGCAACCAGCACATCGCAATTCAGCACGGCGCAGCACAGCACAGCCCTCGGCGCGGTACATCAAGATTGATACATTCAGCTTTGTAACTTGGCCCGTTCCCTGGCACGTTCCGTGGCGCGTCCTGTGGCGAGTCCTTTTGGCACGTCGCGTGGCGCGTCCCCTGGCACGTCCTGTGGCACGTCCATTGGCACGTTCCGTAGCGCGTCCCCTTGAAGGCACGTCCCGCGGTGCGTCCCCATGGCACGCCCCCTGGCACGTCGCTTGGCGCGTCCCTTGGGACGTTCCGCGGCGCGTCCTCCTCGCATGTCCCCCTGTCAGTTAGCTCTGGGACAGCTACTGTGTGTTCAGGCAGCTCGAGCTTCAGGTCCAGATCAGCTCGGTCAGGACTCGGATGCTAAGGAGGACTCGATCCACGACGCTGTAGAGCACAATCGCGGCATGGCACATCGCAAATCAGCACGGTGCAGCACAGCACAGCCCTCGGCAGGGTGCATCAAGATCGATACACTCAGCATTGCAACCTGGCACGTTCCTTGGCACGTTCCGTGGGGCGTCCTTTGGCGAGTCCCCCTGGCACGTCGCGTGGCGCGTCCCCTGGCACATCCCGTGGCACATCCATTGGCACGTTCCGTAGCGCGTCCCCTTGGCACGTCACGCGGTGCGACCCCATGGCGCGTCCCCATGCACGTCGCCTGGAGCGTCCCTTGGGACGTTCCGCGGCGCGTCCTCCTGGCATGTATCCCTGCCAAGTAGCTCTGGAGCAGCTACTATGTGTTCAGGCAGCTCGAGCTTCAGGTCCAGATCAGTTCGGTCATGTGTCGGATGCAAAGGAGGACTCGATCCACGACGCTGCAGAGCACAATCGCGGCATGGCACATCACAGTTCAGCACGGTGCAGCACAGCACAGCCCTCGGCAGGGTACATCAAGATCGATACACTCAGCATTGCATTTGCCCAGCACCCAATCAGGTGTCTTTGAAACCGCTGCCATGCGTTACATGTCTATATTCCTTTCCGGGTTCGTGGGTCGATCCTGTTTAATCTCCGGTGGTTTGGGATCGGCCTTTTGAGGGATGCTCAGAGGACCCTGGGGCACTCCCAGGGGAATCTTAGGGCCTCTCTGGGGCCTCTCTGGGGACTCTCCGGAACCTCTTCGAAATAACATTTCGCATTTGTGTTGTTACCTTGGTCACAAATCGGCGTTTCCCTTAATTGCGTTTGTTTCTGCCGTTGTTAGACAGCGACAAATTTCACGCCACAAGCGGCGACTAACCAGCAAGGTCGGCAAGAAAGGTTCCAGACCTTGGAATGTTCCGCAGGATCGAGGATTGAGGCTTAGAAATGAATGGGCTGGACCCCAGGATGCGGCCAGTCAGTGCCCAGGGCCAGGGTAGCGGATGTTTTGCTTATCTCTTTGCGTGTTCTTTTTGGAGTAGGCGCGCAACAGGTTAAAAGCGGCTGCATGTCAGATTCGCTTGCAGAGCGGAGTCGCGCGACCACGTGCGCGTGGCGCGTGCGAATCACCTTGGGCATCGGAAGTATCGTAGGGGCAACGGTCACGTAACCCCTCGGAAATCCTTTGAACGCGCAGCGTTCTGTCGCAGCACGCCCTCGCGGTCGCGAACTGCACTGCGCTGCGATGCCCAGGCCCATTCGCAAACAATCGCCTGCACTGATCCGTTCTCGGGGCCGACCCTGCGACGCCCGCGATCCAATCCAGCCAGGCCTGCGCCATTATGCCTCAGTGGCTCTATACGGGCTGGCGGATCATGGATCTCGGGTGGCCCGGAAACACTTGGGTGCGAGAGGTGCTCGTGGGTTTGGAGGAGGCTGCCGTTGCTTCCGTGCTTCCGCCGCCTGTGCACGACGAGGTTCGCGACAGATTCCGCGGCCCGTTAACCACGAAGTTGGCCGAAGATTTGTTCAATCATTTGAGGAAGACGTCAAAACAGAGTGAAAACGGAACGCTCCAGCACAAGACCCAGTGGTGGGCGGCATTTCATTCTCCGATTCTTGCAGAGAGCGATTGGGCGCCACTGCAACCAGAACCCGAAGATATTTTAGTTCGGAAAACAGTCGGAGGGTCGTTGCCCAGCACGGTTTTCGATAGCAGGAGCCACGTTTGCAGTCTTGGCCTTGAGGCCGAGAAAGCGTATCTGGACGGTCCCAAAACTTGGCCCAGCGTTTCTGCCGAAAGATGGATGGCGCGGCCAGCTGCTCTTTCCGCGTTGATGAACTTGGACGTCGCGTCGTTGAAGAAAGCATGGGTTTGCAAGTTCGCTTTGCCAGGTTGGGTTCTGTTTAAGAAGATTGGCGACGGGCCTACTGCGACTTGCATGTTAAGGTGGGTACTCGGCTTAACAGATCACGGTTTGATCACGTGGCCTTTGGTGCACAACCGGTCTGGAAGTTTGCGATGTTTGACGCCGAAGTTGGATGGCTCGCCAAAGCCGTGGAGGCAGTTACTCGTTGTGAACGATTACAAAGATTGGGAAACGATGGAACTTGGCATCTCGTCGCCGAAGGAAACGAAAACAATTGCAGGGTACGGTCCAGGTGCCCCTGGTGGTATACGGCTCTATATGAAGATGCCTCGGATGACGATGATAGAAGCGGCTGCGAAACACGGGTTTGTCGGCTTCAATGTTGAGGAGACCAAGCAGTTCATCAAATTTGAGACTCCTCAACCTAAGTTGCCATCGCAGGGGGATGCGTTAGCGACTCTTCTGATCAAATGGGCGATTCCCACTGCCACGGATGCTGATGTAGCCCAGTTTCTGGCTCTCAGGCACCAGGAGCACCGCGCCAAGCACGTGACGTGCATTGACACGGAAAATGTGGATGTCACAGATGAGGCAGCCGACGGCGATCTCGTGGCAGAGCCCAAGAAGTTGATGAAAAATAAACTTGGGACACATTCTGCCGAATCAGGCGCTGCAGGCGCTGATGCCAGCGGCTCTGCTAGCAGTTCTTCTGGATCAGGAGGCGTTCCTGCGAGCAACGCTGGGGGCAAGAAACCGTTCCGGCCGCTGCCAGAAAACATTGATAAACGCGAAGATGTGGCAGCGTTGTTCCCCGCGGCTAAGGGTTGCACAATTTCTGTGCACGCCAACAGGTCGTGGCAAGTCAAATGCCCTCCGAAAGCCGAGTACCCGCGGAGCCACGCAGTTACGTGGAGCCTTGACGACCCAGCTGGCCCTCGGAAGGCCGCGATCGAGTGCGTTGCGTGGGCATGGAGAGAGCGCATTCGCCTCAATCCCACGGTGCAATGTCCGCGCGACATCGGCGCGCAGGGTGCGCGGTTCTTCTGGGGGCCGCGCTGCGTCAGAATAGGCGCGGGTCGCGGCTTAGAGCGCCCGCCTCCGACAGGTCGCGCGGCCATGTCTGAGGCAGCTTCCGCTGCAGAACTCGAATTCGAACTCTCGACGCTTCGCGTGTCACCACCAGATAATTCAGAGACGATGCCCAGGACCGTTGCAAGAGGGCCTCAGAGAGCCCAGCGCGACCCCAAGGATCGCCCAAGATCGCCCAAGATTGCGCCCGAAACGCTCCAAGGAACACCAAGGCTGCACCAAGATGGCCCTAGGTGGACGCGGAGGCTCCCACGGAAGGCCCCGAGAGGCCAACCTCCGCCAAAAAAACAATAGAAATGTTGTGGGCGCCCCTTTTTCGCCGATTTGCCTTTGATTGCTGTTTTAAGCTTCAGCGTGGC